GGGGGGGGGGGGGGGGGGGGGGGGGCTTCGTCTTGTCTCTTTCGATATGGCAGAAAAGGAAGACGGAGTGATCTGGAACTTTGCTTCCGAAAGCAGAACCCTCGATCGCAAAGAAACAGGCGGGAACCGGCAGCTGAACATCCAGACACGGAAAGGGAACGCACGCAACACGTTCACTTGCACCTCTAGGCCGACACGCACACAAATTCCACACCAGATCCGATACACTGACTCGGACCGAACCTCACCATCTCCGTGTTCTTGCCGGCGAGCGGACCTCTCGGAAGCGCTATCACAGCCGGGGATCCCGATGATGCGTCCACGGGGTCTTGAGGCTTGGAAGCGACAGCGAAAGGCGTCCCGTCAGCGCCTGCACCGGCCGCTGCTGCTGCTGCTGGTGCTCCCGGAAGGCCAAGAGCGTGCTCTTGCCGGTGCGTCCTTCCGTTCAGCGGTCCGTCGTCGTCGATGCTGTCGCCTTCGCAGCAGCCGCTGCCGCTGCTGCTACGGCTACGGATGCTGCTGCTGCACCGATCATCGTCGGAATCGTTGTTGTTATTGCTGTTGCGGCCTGTGGTGGACTCCCCTTCGCTGGAACCGCCCCCCGACACAGCAGCAGCCGCAGCACCAGCAGCACCAGCAGCCGCAGCAGAAGAGGTAAGGTTGTGATCACCAACAGCCCGGCCATCGTTCACCGGCTCAATGACAATGCCTCCAGTTGCGCTGTTCTCATCGCCACCGCCGCCGCCGCCGCCGCCGCCACCGCTGAAGAAACTGACGACGTCGCTCTCAACCTCGCCCTCGCCAACGCCTCCAGTGTCGAACTCCCGGACGAAACCGCCCGCGGAACCCGCTGCAGAAGAGGTGGGGGACAAGCTGACCACCGCCACATCGCCGACGTCGCCCCTACCGCCCTGGTCTCCTTGTCTGCTGCTGCTGCTATCGTGAGCTGCTTCTTCCCCCGCAGCGGCTTGTTCTGGGGTGTAGACGGCCGAGTCGCGCTCGAACTGCACCAGCAACAAGTGCATCTTGTCGTGTCGTCACCAGAGACACAAGAAAAACACGATGAAAGGCCGGGGTAGGGTTGGGAATGGCAGGGAGGGTTAGAGAAACGAGAAGAAAAAAAAAAAGTTCCGAAAAAACAATGAACGGCACTCGAGCGTTGAGAGGAGCATTTCATCGAGGAAAGTAACGTCAACAGCAGTGAGTTCCTCAAGTCTGCGATGATGAAGAATAGCTCCGGAAAAGAAGCGCTGCCTCCTTACAACACAGCAGCCTTGTCCCCGCTTTGAAGACGCTTGGTTAAAGCCAACCCCCCCGCGTCGAAGTAGGCGGTATTCTCATAATCTTGGTACCCCGTGAATTCACAATTATAGGGGAGGAGAGACCTTGAAGACGCTTCCCCACTGCAACGAGGGTTAAAAACAAAATAACTCTGTGTTTTCATCCTGGTACTGTAGCGTGGATGAGTGCGGGCTGTAGTACCTGATCCGCGACGAGCTTCTTGCGCTGTCCCAGGGCTTCGATGTCTTCCTTCAGCCTCAGCAGCTCGCTCGACAGGCTCGTCCTCTCCCTCGTCGCCTCCTGCGTTCCACGGGCATATCAACGTGCATGTGCTGGCTCTCTCACCCCGCCGAGCATAGTTGACGTTCTAAAAACGTGCCTTCGATGCAACCGAATAATTCCAGCAAGGCAAACGACACAGTCGGTCGCAGGATCACTCCACAAACGAAAAAAAGCAATGCTTGAATGCATACCTCCAACCTCTCGCTAGCCTCCGTGATCTTATTCTGGAATATTCTCGCGTCTTCCTGCAGCGGAGCCGCCATCTTCGCCAGGCTCTCCTTTAGCTTCTTGAGCAGCTTGGTGTCCGACAGCATCATCCTGCATCACGTGGTCGTCACCACCATCAAGGGAGATAGGTATAGGTAGAAAACGCATACATACAATCGCATAAACACAGTCTGTTCGAGACGACGTCATAGTGCAATGAGGTTCCCAGAATGACGCGGTCACCAAATTTATTGCTGTAGTCTTGAAATAAACAAAAAAAATGCCCCACCTCTCAAATCCAGAACCTCCATCTGTCCGTACTGATCTAACACTTGGCGCGGTCGATTCCCGTACATCAAGGGGTTGAAAATCGGCTGGCATAGGCAGAATTATCAAGGTGTGATTCGCATTGGACAAGGCGGCTGCCCCAGACTTGGCGGTCATTATCGGCTTTCCCACCACCGCCTTCTTCGGGGAACCCCACTGCACCCGAAGGGACTTTATTGCTGTTTAGCTCGGCCACGACATGATGGCGCGTCGCTGATGGGGTGGGTCGCATCGCCTCCGTACTGACGGCCGCTCGATCAACACTTGTATGGCAACAACACGGATACCATCAGCATGTTGCATCGTCATCACAGCAGCACCATCTCAACATCGGCATACCACGCATCACGTTAGCAAAAATGAAGCTGCCACGACTTGTGATCCTACCAAACCTTGACGGCATCACGTTGCGGAGAGTGATACCACGCGCTTCACCGCAACAGACAAAAAAGAACACGGCATACAAATACAAATGGACCCTCCTCCCCCGACCTTCGGTCCTGTGTGAACAATGCTCCGGAGGACGCGTGGTCAATGGTCTAACCGATGAGGCATGCAAAACAGAAAGAGTACCCCCCCTGCTCGAGTAGTGCACCCCCCCCCCGG